ATATTTCCTTATAAAAGAAATATATATGAGTTCATTGTGATTATGGAATCAGGGTGTTAATTTATTAATGTTAAATTAAAATTAATTACAATTTTTATTATAATTGATGTAAAACAAAAAAATGAATTTGAAAATTTTTATTAGAAAATTTTGTAATATAACTATCTATACTATATATATATAGTATCTATGTACTGATACAATGTCTATACGAATACGATTGATAAATTATAAAACGAAAAATTTTTATTAAAATTTCTAATAAATAATTATTAATTCAGAATTGTTTAAAAGAAATTATAATTATTATAATATTTTGTAGTATATAACACTATTGTTATAAATATATTCCAGATTTATATATCTCATTTAATCTGGGACCTATTGCACCAAAAAACTTTTACCCTACATTTTGTGCAACAGAAATTTTGCAAATTTTTTCACTAATTGATTGAAAAAAAAATAAAAGTGGTTGGTTCAATTGAGTCCTGACTTTTTAAATCCTTAACAAAATTATTTTACATTAACCCTTAAAATATTCAGAGATTAAAATTGTACAAAAATATTGAAAAATTTTTTAAATTAATTGAATTTTTAAGCCAAAATAATTTATTTAATTATACTTGTTTAATAATTATGTTAGTACAAATAATTTTTGAATCACTATGACTCGAGTATAAATAATTTTTAATGAAATTCAAATTTTTCTCAAATATTTAACAATAAATTTCAAAACTTATTTGATATTTTATTGTATTAGCATTTTTAATATATCTAATTAATATAAATAAAAAAATAGAATATTGCATATCAAAATTCACTTTTAATTTCTCTAATCAACATAATTTCTATAATATTATCTACATATAATAATAATAAAAAATAAAATATCAAGTTTCCCATTTTAGTCTTTTATTATAACTTTAGAAATCATTTATTAATAAAATATAACTAATATTTAAATATAGAAAATCTATTAATTAAATAATTAAATAAAAACTTGTTTTGTATTTTTGTTTTTTTTTTTGTATAAAAAACCATAATTTTTTTTTAACTCGCTATTAACATTTATGCATTAGCTATATAATTAATAAGATAAATATTTGAATATGCTACATATTTAAAATACTATATACTATCTGATTTTAACATTATGTTAACTAAAAACGATACTATTAATATAAATATATAGATTAATAATTTATTAGCATAAATATGTAAGAAAATTATATTTTAAACTAGGGTATAAGGTCAATTAATTTTTGCAAGTTTTCCCTATACAATCACATTATAATATGATAAAGTAGTTTTTGCTAATTAATAACAATAAAAGTAGTTAATAATATATATTTATATATATATACATATATATATTATTAAAGTGTATGAAAAATATGAAAAATAATTTATAAAAATGTTAAAGTAATTAACGAGCATTAATGCACGATTCAGTAATTGAAATTTTAATAAGCTAAATTGTGCCTTTATACAATATAAGGCACTTAATAATCGTCAACAATTTGACGTTCGTCAAAAATAACTTTTCACAATAATTTTAACCACGCAATTATTTTTTAGTGACTACAAAGAAATTCTAAAGTTGTTATAAAAAATGCAAATAATTTCAAGAAGCGACAATTCTGACACCAATGATAAAAATCATTAACACATGAACGTCAAATTGTTGATGACTATGAGCTGTAGTTATTATTGCAATTTTGAAGGCATTGTAACACAATTTAGCAATTATTATAAGCTGAATTAAGGATTTACTGTATAATTTACTTATTACTAACTGTACCGTTTCATGATCTCAGGGGTATTTTTTCTTTGAAATTTTAATAAATATAAGTAAATAAATAGAGGACGGATTTTATGCAATAAGTTTTGCAATTAAATTCAATGTTTTAATTAAAAAAGTTGAAGTATACTATTTCTATGCTATATAATTTACAATTTAGAGAAATTAATAATAATATTAAGTATAAGTCAATTTTCTTTTTGTTTAAAAAAATAAAAGGAAACACTTTCATTTTATTGTATAGGCATTATGTTTTTGACAGAAAAACATTTCTAAAATTTTGACATTAAATACCTAAATGACTTATTTACACATATTTAATTTCATGAAAAATTACTCAAAAAGAAAAATCTTATTTACATTTCGCTTAATATTCGTATATCTTCGCTACATTATGCTCTGTATACATATTCAATTGAAACATAACCTAATTTATTTATTTATTTCTTTCTTTTTTTAACTCCAAAAGAAATACATATTTTTTGTTTTTAAATAATTATTTAATCCATATTACTTTTCCATATACTTAGGTACACAAAATTCACTTAAGTGTAATGAAAAAAAAAACCAAGAAAACAAAAGAGAATTAAAAGACAAAAAACAAAATTTCAAATAATAATCGCATTAAATAATTTTTAAACACTATAAAAATATTATTAATCGTGAGCTTTTAAAGGAAATTATTTGAATAGATTTTTTTAAAAAGAAACATTAATATATCCACACTTTTTTATAAGTGTTATACGATCACATCACTCACATTGTATACCTATGATCGCATTCTGTACGTTGTTTTGTTTTCCTAAATAAACCTTTTTCGTATACAGTAATCCCTCTTATAACGTATACTTTGAGACCGAAAATTTTCTACGTTAAGTGAAATTACATTAAAATAGGGTTTGGAAAGAACCCCTAATTAGTTATTAATTCTTCCGAAAATAGCTCTTGAACAACAATTTTAATTTCTGAAAAGCCAATAATTTTGGCAAGCTGAATATGATTTTCTTTGGTAACTTGAAAAAACAAAGCTACGTTAAGTGATATATGTGTAAGGTGCAACGTTATAGGAGGCTTACCTGTACATACATATTTTGTTATAGGCAAATGTTTTATACGCTAGTGTAAACCACTATAAATTTATTATTATTTTGTCTCGTAATCATATATGGGTAGATACCTCTGGGGCGCTTAAGTAAAAATATCAATTACAAAATAATGAAATGAGTACTTTTTTTTAATGCATATACAAATGAACATTATTTTCCTAAACCATATTTGCTTTTATTCTTTTATAATCTTTTACCATTGCATTATTAATTTTTGGATGATGCGAAGAAGGTGACGATTGAAAGTTTAAAGTATAATATAAGACAAAAACGTTAAAAATGTTTTGTTTTTCTGGTATTGTAAAAATTATACACAAACTTTTTGTTTAAAAAATAATTAAAAATTTCACTTTCTTTCATATCGTATTTTTTTTTATTATATTGAACGAAATGTTATACATATTCTCTTTTAATTTTTCTTCTCTCGTTTTCTTCATTTTTTCTATATATTTTCACTCTTTTTCACTTAATATTTTAAAATAAGTGTCGTAATGCTACACTTTTTCATCATTATTTTTAAACACATACAGAGCATATAATATTCATCATCATACATTCATATATTATGTAGATATTCTTGTAGTATAACCTCAACAACAAATATGTACATTACATATAGTGTTATAATAAAAAAATAATTTAAAAGTGAATTTAATTTGTTTTTGTTATTAATAAATAAATAAATATACATTAATAAAACAAAGAAGAAATTAAATTATATTGCAATATGTGTAGTCAAAGAGTCATATGTCAAGAGTCATATAAAAAAAGTGATTCAAATAAAATAAAAAATGTTAAAGTATTAAGTATGTATTTTGGTTTTGACCCCTATTTTTATTTTCACCATATAAAGCATTTATAATAATAATTATTATACTAGTATAATTAATATTTTTGTTATATAAATTTCTCTATTTCAAATAGAGGTTATAAGCATACGCGTATTCGTATACCTTAACAAGAAATGCAATAATATATTAGAATTGGTGGAGTTTTCGTTAATTCAATTCTAGAAAAGTTCTGAACTTTTGACACGTTTGAATGCTCACACTGAAAATATACTCTACAATAATTTACGTAATTTTCGAACAACTGCTGCGTTTCAGAATTATTAAACATAAAAAATTTAGCTAGAGTTTTTACACATTTTGCGGTTTAGAAATTTAAGTTGCTAATGTAGAACTTTTAGCATAACGCGTATACAAACCCCTTTGCAAATATAGTTTTTAAACGTTGTTATCAATTTGGAAAAAAAAATATTTTTATTTTTTTTATTTCATTAACCTCTCAGCCTATATTTTGGTAATAGCTAATATTATATGTACATAAATAAACTATAAAATCACTATTTTCCATTCATTCGTTTTCTGTTTTGTTAAAAACTGAGAAAAAAGATTATTTTCTGCATATTAATTTCGATTTTTCGCAGTTTTACTTTCATTAACGTTTGTCGTCAGTTTCAATATTATAAAAGAGTGTACATGCGCATATAGACTAATCGTAAAGTAATCAAATTTAGGCTCAATGTGTAATGTGTGTAACATTTATTGATTGATAATGTATTACACATTTATATATAAAATTAGTGAAATTTAACAATAATAAATTTCAATTGAAGTAATAAAGAATATTAATCACACTACCTTGACGAAAATGCGTAGACGATCTGGACAATTATGTTATTTTTTCCCGGTAGATGGAAAATAGTATTTCTGGTATTCATCAATTGGATCATGTGTCTTCGGAGTTATTTCAGCATTTAATTTTAATATTTGAAATATGATTTTTTATTGGCTACATTAAAAATTATTTATATTTTAATCCAATCAATTACTTCAGTTAAAACTTGGCGCTAGCGCGAGCTACCGTTAATATATTCTGGACAACATTATTTAGCTAAGACAAACACACGATAAATATTTCATAAGCTGTCATAATAAACATGTAGTACAATTTTTTATCGTAAATTGTCAATATGACATTTTGTTCGCCGGCATCATTGTGCATACCCTACACCTAATTTATTTTCATTAATATTTCTAATTTCTTCCACTGATAGTGTAAGTGTATTTATTTTTGCTTGTGAAATTCAAAGATTCAATTTATAATATTGCTTTATAAATTTTAATAAAAATATTTAAATAGTGTAATTGAAACGAAGTTAAAAAAAATTAGCTCAATATGGTAGTGCGTCAGTACAATGAAGAACTCAAATATTTGGAGAAGGTAACAAACAACTGTTGGCGTATTAAAAAGGGATTCCAACCAAATATGAATGTTGAAGGATGTTTTTATGTAAATTCCCGTCTTGAACGATTGATGTTTGATGAATTGAGAAATGCCTGTCGTCCAGGTGCTGTAGGTGGATTTTTGCCTGGTGTAAAACAAATAGCAAATGTAGCTGCACTTCCTGGTATTGTGGGTAGATCAATTGGATTACCTGATATTCATTCAGGTTATGGTTTTGCTATTGGAAATATGGCAGCATTCGATATGGATGATCCAAAAAGTATTGTTTCCCCTGGTGGAGTAGGTTTTGATATAAATTGTGGTGTTCGTTTATTACGAACAAATTTATTTGAAAAAGATGTGCAACCTGTTAAAGAGCAATTAGCACAATCGTTATTTGATCATATTCCTGTAGGTGTTGGATCAAAAGGTATTATTCCAATGAATAGCCGTGATTTAGAAGAAGCATTAGAAATGGGTGTAGATTGGTCACTCAGAGAAGGTTATGTATGGGCTGAAGATAAAGAGCATTGTGAAGAATATGGTAGAATGTTAAATGCTGATCCATCTAAAGTTAGTATGCGAGCAAAAAAACGTGGTCTACCACAATTGGGTACACTAGGAGCTGGAAATCATTATGCAGAAATTCAAGTAGTTGATGAAATTTATGATAAATTTGCTGCTAGCACAATGGGTATCGAAGAGATAGGGCAAGTATGTGTAATGATACATTCTGGAAGCCGAGGATTTGGACATCAGGTAGCTACAGATGCTTTAGTTGCAATGGAAAAAGCTATGAAACGAGATCAAATTGAGACAAATGATAGACAATTGGCATGTGCAAGAATAAATAGCCCAGAAGGTCAAGATTATCTAAAATCAATGGCTGCTGCAGCAAATTTCGCATGGGTAAATAGAAGTTCTATGACATTTTTGTCAAGACAAGCATTTGCTAAGATGTTCAAAACCACGCCAGACGATTTAGATATGCATGTTATATATGATGTATCACATAATATAGCCAAAATAGAAAATCATATAGTTGATGGTAAAGAGAAAAAGTTATTGGTACATAGAAAGGTAATTTAATTTTTACATTAAATAATATTGAACTATAGTAAACAGTAAATGTACGAATGCTCAGGGTTCAACGCGAGCGTTCCCTCCACATCATCCATTAATTCCAGTTGATTATCAGTATACTGGTCAACCAGTTCTAGTTGGTGGTACAATGGGTACGTGCAGTTATGTGCTGACGGGTACAGAAAAGGGTATGCAGGAGACATTTGGCTCAACATGTCATGGGGCTGTAAGTTAAACGCAATTAATATTTGTTAAAATTTCTAACGTACAAAATTTTAGGGAAGAGCATTATCTCGAGCTAAATCAAGACGAAATTTAGATTATTTGCAAGTTTTGGAAAAAATGCAATCAATGGGCATTGCCATAAGAGTAGCATCACCGAAATTGGTAATGGAGGAAGCTCCAGAATCTTACAAAGATGTTACCGATGTCGTCGATACATGTCACGCTGCTGGAATTAGTTCAAAATGTATCAAACTTCGGCCAATTGCTGTAATCAAAGGTTAAAAATACGAATTTTTTACGCGAATATGTGTATTATATGTATAATTAAACTACTTATGATATTCTAATACAAAAAATCCAATTGGTTACTCATACTTGTCGTGTTTTTTATCACCTTAATGATAATTTTTCTAGAATTAAGATTAACGCATTTGAAATTATTTATATTTAAGTAATGAAATTTAGTAAGCGAATATTGAATTGATTTTTGCAAATCTCTTTTTTTAAGGCTATTTATGAATTTAAATTTTAAAATTGGCGATATTATTTTATGGTTGAATAAATAAAAGTGTCGACATTTTTCTTTCGAAAACAATTTCCATTTTATTTAAAAATTCAGTCAAACAAAAAACAATCGATAAGATTCCCTTGATAGTATTCTATTTTCTAAAATTTAATATCAACTTCAAAACTTAAATAAATTTTTTAATGAAAAACCAAAGAACAACGATTTCACATGGTTAAATGTTTAAAATGCCATAAAATAATGTGCAACGTAATTAAATTGTGTTCAATTTTTGAGTTACCTTTAAAAAACGATGAAAATAAAATATGATTACGTTTCTGTTTTTTTAGCCGACCACTGTAAATAGTTTGGCTGCGTTGCAGCCTCATATTCTTGCACTAAACAATCAACGACATCCCGTGAGATGTCTAATTCAGATAAATCATCTTTAAACATATCTTCACGACGAAATTGATCTAAGAACGCTCCACGTTTTCTTAATTTATCATATTGGTTTAATGCCCGTTCAAAAAGTGAACAAATGCTTGTGTGATTTGCTAACATTAAACCGGAAACTCTATGACTGCTCTGAACATATGGACTACTTCTTGAAAGAGCAACTTGAATGCTTGTTGGACCCCAAGGTATAAATTGAGCCAACTTACGTTCACGAATACGTTGTAATGATTTATGAACTTGAGTTGGATCAACTTCACCCTAAAAAACAAATATAGAATAATTTTAAATAATAAAAATAAAATTATTACCTGAATAATATTCAAAATTGAAATATAACAATGATGATTTGTTTTATCTGGACCTGTCGATACCATCATATTCTTTGGTTGCAACAATCGTCTCATAACGTCTAGAACTGTTGTTTTTCGAACGTTAACCGTTTGCTAAAACGTTAAAATGTTATTTATTTGGAACTATTTTGATCAAAGATACTTACGTCACTATCTGTTGTAAGCGGCGTATAACCTGTCATAAGGAAATGTAATTGAGGTGTAGGAATTAACGGTGCTGTTAACCCAATTAAGTTATTATTCATATAAGAAGGATATCTTAGTGTTGTTGTGCTAACCGACATTATTGTTGAAACTAATGAGTTTATTTGTGTGAAACTTGGGTTTTGTATATGTAACCTATCGGTTGCGATTCTGTTTAAAGCAGTATTATCAAGAACAACGACACAATCAGCACAACTTGTAAGACGTTTTAATGTTAACATAGAATTATATGGCTGTACAACAACATCACTAATTTCATCTTGATTTGGAAACACACTGTATGTTTGAATTAATTTTTTTGGAAACCTGTCGGAAAGTTTTTCCATGATGTACGAACCCATTCCTGATCCTGTGCCACCAGCTATACTATGGCATAACACAAAACCTTCTAAACTGTCACTGCCATCTGCTTCCCTATCTATAATATCAAATACTTCTTCCTGTAATTTTTCTCCTTGACTATAGCCAGAAGCCCAGTTGTTTCCCGCACCCCCACCATGTTTTGATAAATATATATTTTCGGGATTATAAAGCTACAATAACTTAATATTAGAGAAATAATGAAATTTAAACATTTCTTTTTTAACCTTTGCATAGGGTGAGCTCATAATTGTGTGAATGACTCTAGGTTCCAGATCAAGTAAAACTGCACGGGGTATGTAATGATCATCATCAGCCTTTTTTGTACAAATTATTTAAATAAGATATTGATTAAAAAAAAGAAAGCTTATAACCTGATAAAAAAAGACATCTTTCCGATCCAAGCCATCAGTTGCGAAGTCTTCAAGAACTCCTGTTGGTGATATTCCATGCTCTAAACAAAGCCTTTTCCAAAATTCAAATCCAACTACAAAATTATGTATCACAATTATTAATTATAATTTGAACTAAATCAATTTTAGAAAACAGTTGGCGCGTACAATAAATAAATTCCACTTTTTCATATTTTAATCGATAACTTACTTTGATTCCCACATTGACCCAATTGAAGCGTAATAATTTCGCTTGGCATTTTGTACAATTATATTTATAATTTAATTTAATAATAATGTAATATAGCTTTTAAATTATGTATAATAAATATTTTAAATTTTCAAATAATTAAAACAGCGGATAAAATTTACATATCTCAAATATTTGACAATTTACTTTTTAATTCAAATTCTTAGAAATGCCAGTTAAGTCAAAGAAAAAATTGTACTACTATAGTACTTTCGTTTGCTACAAGTATTGCAGTGTTGTACAATACAACAATTACATTGACTGAAAGCTTTGTTGATTTTTTAAATTTTTACAAATATAGGAATATTATAAAAACTCTACAATTTCAAACAACATGCTATTGCATATAAGTAGTATTACCTTTTTATTCAGTTCGGAACCTATTTTTTTTGTTACCATATGTTAATAATCAGCAAGGTTTCATGTTGTCATTATGTTGATAGACCAAGTTGATTAGTGGAAGGACAGCATTTAACAGAGCTAAATATCACCCTTATTTGTTTTTTAAAATATTAATTTATTCTAACACATAAGTTATTTAGTCTTTCTACGAGATAAATATTAAACAGTAATTCAAATAATTAATGAATTCGATACTGGTTTCAAAATAATTTGATCAAAAATTAGCTGGGCTATTTTTTGACAACGTCAAAGTTTCCTAGATGTTAATATTAATACGATTTGTTGGAAAATGAAATAATGATTCTTAAAGAAAAAAAAATGCCCGTAGGACAAAGCTTTTATTAAAGTAATTGAATTAATATTTAATAAGGTCTCGTAAAGGAACCCATTCTCAATTTTTTCTTAATAGTTAATGCAATTACACCTTTTGCTTTTAATATTTTAAATTTAAATCCAGATTTGTATTTATTTATTTCAAATAACATCGGTATAATTATTTTAAGAAATAATTTAAAATTACAAAGAATATACATAAAAAAAAATATAAGCAGTGCGTCAAATTTTTCCGAGTTGACATGTAAGTCAAACGTAAATTAAAAACATGGAGACGCTCTGTTCTTGTTTTATTTTTGTTTTATTTTTTTTTTTTCAATTAAACGTCAATCTAAAATTCTTTAATGGAAGGTACCACAAGATTGCGTACTTTAAAAAATAGTAATTTTATAAATAACTGGGATGCAAGTATATTGCATAAGTGAAACAAATATTTCATTGAAGAACAAATATATTCTAAAAATTTATGTTTTTATTCAAATTAGTAAAATTTGTTTGTGTTGAAACTTCAACTTAAAACGAGTCGAACTCAAGTCAAAATAGTGCAATAAATTAAAAAAAAAAAAATAGGATAATAACAAAATAACAAATATTTACAATAAAACTGATAAGAAATTTAGATGAAATTTACATTTTCAATTAAAATCATGATTAAAGATTGAATGTATGACTACTAAAAATTAAAAAAAATATGAACGCCCAAACGTTTGCTTCTACTAGTGGAAAAAATTGTAAGCGACCTATAAATAGAATCAATCATTCTGTACCAGATTGTTTAGACACTCATATAATTTCTGATGATAGCGAAACAGAACAAAATATAAGTAATTTTAACACAGTTCATCACACTATTAATATGAAACCAAACAGTTTAAATGATATATTACAATTAACGAAGAGTATAAGATTCCAAAATAAAACGGGGGAAAATGAAGACTATAACTTCAACAAAAAATTAAAAACATATAAAGGTAAAAAACTATTTTTATCGTATATAGTTGGTAAAAAAATGTTATTTTACATATTTTTATTTTTAGATATACAACCGTCTCAAAATTTTCTAGAAATAATTGAAGTTGATTCAAGATCTTCAGATACAAATGAACCTGAAATTCTTATTGTTCCACCACCGGTTCCTTTAGATTCAATTTTATTTAAAACGAGTAGTGAAAAAACAAGTGATTTTGCTACATCCACGCCATCTTCAATTAAAAAACTTAAAGCTGGACCTTTACCATCACCACCACCATCTCCTCCTTTACGGCCAATGCTTAAGAATACTCCTGGAAATTTTGAAAGATATTTAGCAAATTTAGAAAAACGTTTTACAAAATTATCAAGTGAAGATAAAGTTTTGAATTGGAATTTCTCAAATGATGTTGATGATGTGGAAGACTTTGTAGAATTTGATAAACACGGACAAATGCTCAAAATGAAATTCCGTAGTAATAGCAAGAACAATAATAATAATAATAACGAAATGCTTAAAATACATCAAAATTCGTCACAACTGGAAAAGTTAACTATTAAGGGAAATGTAACTAAAAACGAAATTATGAATATGTTAAAACCACAGAAAAAATCCTCTATTAAATACCCTAAAAAACCAAGGCATAGGAAGTGTGGAAATCAAAAAAAATTAAAACTTATTGCTAATGGACGGTTGAATTCTGAAGAAATAACTTCGACAAATTCTGAAACATTTAAAATACCAAATGTTCCTCGAAAATATTTGATATGTAAACCTTGTCAGAACTCTGATGAAGGTTGCGGAAATAGTGACTGCGAGCTCTTAACAGAAGAACATAAAGAAGAGTTTTGTAAATATTTAGGTTTAAGTACTAAATCTCAAAATGGTGAAATGTTATCATCAGCCTCCGAACATCCAGATTTAAAAAGAAGATCGTTACGCGTTAGGCAGATTCAATGTCAGGCGAAGGCAATGCAAAAATCGAATATTTTAAAGCGGGAAATACAAAGTCAGACGGACGGAGTTGATTTTACTGCGTTTGCTGTTAAACCAGAAAAGATTAGAAATCCGAATATTTTTCCTAAATATAACGAAATAAATGAAAAGAAAAATGGTGAAATCAGGTACATTTGTTTTTTTTTATTAACTTTATGAGTGAAAACGTGAATTCTTATTTTGATTTAATTTTAGAATTGTTAGATCAACGAAAATGGATCCTACTACGAAAGAGAATTCTCAACAACCTCCTCAAGTTGTATTGCATCAGAACCCGTCAACAGTTTTACCAGAAGTAGCAAAAGAAAAATCTAGAATTAAAATTGTGTGTAGTCTTAATAGTAATGTAATAGCAAGTAACCCAGTTTCAAATCAAAGCAGTTCAGTTCCACAAACAACATTACCTAACGAAGTTCGCAACAGTTTAAGCCCTTTGAGTATAAATAGTAAAAATAGTCAAAAACTTAGCCTGGGTCGGAGCAGTTGTCATGCAGATGATGAAAATTCAAGTCAAAATAATGTAAATATAAATAGAAAAAAAGATTCCCTGATTATTGTTAAAAATACATATGAACAAAAACCATCACCGGAAATAAATCCAAGTATAATACCAGTAACAGCCTCGAATAAGGAACATAAAATATCAATTCAAAACGAAAATATTACGAAATCAGACTCCAATGAAAATGATAGAGATAAAGGTAAAATAAAAATTTTAGAAAGAGTAACATATTCTCCAAAAACTGTAAAAAGGGACACACCACTTATAGCTTACGATCGAATAAAAACTTCAGATAACGTTCATAATCATATGCAAACGTCTGTTGATTATTCTAAAGATGTAAAAGATAAAATTAAAATAGAATTTGCTGCTAATTATGATAGTAAAAACTTAAAAACCGATTCAAATATTGATGATAATAAATCCAATATTGTATTAGCAAATCATGATATAAAAAGCGAAAAGTCATTTAAAATAGACGACGAAAATGTAAATAAAATGAAAAATGAAAATATAAATGCAAAACCTATGAAAAAACAGAGTAGAATAACATTGAAAAATATAAATAAGAAATTAGTTATTTCCCCAATTCCAAAATCGAATACGAAAAATAGACCTGTTGGACGTCCATCAAAGAAATTTAAAACATTAGTAAAAAATCCATCTAGTTTAAAATTCTTTCGTTTAGTACTAAAAAATCCAAAACAAAAACAGAAATTAACAAAAAAAATTACTGAAACAAAGATTTTAAATAAACGCAATCGACGACAAAAGTCTATTTCAGATAAATCATTAAATTTACTTAATAATGCAAAGACTGTGCAAAAACCTGAAGAAAATTTATCAAAAACTAACTTATTACAACAACAATTACCAAAAAGTATTGTAACAATATCATCAAATGAAGTTGTATCAGAAAATCTAAAACTTAATTTAATACCAAATCCATTAAAATTTGAAGATGGTGATGTCTTACATGCATATTACGAAAAAGATTCTTTAATAGTTGTACAACAAAATACAATTAGTTTTTGGAAATATTCAAAAATATTACAGATGTTGGGTCAAGATCAAGAATGGGAACTATTAGGAGAATCGAAAAGGAATTTAAATGGTAAATTAATTTAATAAATTCTTATTAAAAATTAATTTAAAAAAAAAATAATTATATAATTTAAATTTTTTAATACAAATTTTAGATGAAGAAATAATATCACCATTAAAAAATCGTCTCCTATTACATGAAAATATACCAATATACACTGAAATTCGAGCACGTCAATTGCCATATTCTAATAGAGAATGCAGTCTATTATCGCCATATATATGTATCTATTATTTTGATGCAATTAAAAATATTGTACAACAACATGCTATACAATTAGATTCAATAAAATCGTAAGTTATTTAAATTAAGACAAAAATATTCATAAAATATTTTTTTAATACATAAAAAATATATTTTACAGATTAGTACCAAATGTAATTTATACTACAATTACAAATAGTAGATATTTTATTATATGTTGGAAACAAGATACACCAAATAGTACAAATAGAACTGGACTTTGTAAATATGCTTTAACACCAGATTTAGATACCTTGGCCAGTATTAGAGAATTTAAACATTTAAGACATGTAATTTGTAGTCTCGAATGTATTAATGGTAAGCATAAATTTAAATATTATTTTAATTATATTGAAAAAAAAAAACCAAATCTTTTTAACTTGATTTAGAAGAACGACTTATTGGTTTTGGTGAAACACAAGTAACAGTATGGGATTATCATACAGGAGATATTTTATCAAATTTAGATTTGGGAATGAATATTGGTAGAAATTTAGGTGCAATAATGTATTCAATACAGGTAAATATTATAAAAAAAAATATTTTATAATTATTCACCCTTATTTTGTTAGTATATCACTTGAGGTGATGGGATATATTATTGAAAAATATTTTAGTTTCCAATATAGAATTGAAAAACTTAAAAATTTTTGAATAACAACCTATCACGTCAACTGATGCAAATAATACAATATGGATGATTTATGTCTTATATAATATACGTTTATACTATTTCAAAAAAAATACTCTTATTTTTTAGTCTGATGATTATATGTTATTATATCAATTGATACACGTTGAAGACGATAATCCTGATAATATTGAAGAAACATTTCCGCAATTAAAAATTTTTGCATTAAATATATCACATAATTCACCATCATATCGCCTTATTTATGGTCATAAATTACCAATACAATTTGATAATATAAAATCAGCATTAAATTTAAATAATTATATAATTGTAACATCGTTAACTGGTGAAGAATTATGGATGCTTGTTCAGCAACCACAAAGATTATTATTTATGAATGATGAAATATCAACATCTTTAAAAAGATTTTATACAACTGGAAGTGAAAATTATGTTGAAATTACTGGAGATTATTTAAATGTAAAAACAATACATGAAAATTTAATGAATTTTATTACAACGTAAAAAATAATTTCATTTTTTTTTTTTTTTATTTAAATATAATTCTATAATGTAAATATTATAAATATATTATTCTTTAAGTTAAAAGTTTTAAATTCTATTTTATTTTTTTTTGAAAAATTTTTAATATTTTGTTATTATAAAATTTAAATTTTTTTATAAATTCTTTCATTAATTTATGAGATTATTAATAATGATCCATTTTAAATTTTAATATACTATTAAAAAAAATTCTATTTATTTTATTTTATTGAAGAAGAATGGTAAAAAAAAAATTTAAAAAAGAAAAAAATGTAATCAATGTTAAGAGATTTTAAAATCAATTATGTTAATAGAAAAATATTTAATAACGCTTATAAAAAAAAATATATATTTTATAATTGCAACATTTAAAAAAAAAAAAAATAAAAGAAATTTTAAATTTCTAAAATTTACATTTTAATTTATAAATTTTTTAGATTTTCTTCTTATATTTTTGCTCTTTTGTAAATAATAAATTTGTACATAAATATGATAATTAAATTTATATTTTTGTATATTTTTAAAAAAAAAAATATGTTATGTATTTTGTAAAACTATAATTTCATTTTCTTTTTTTATTTTTATGAAATGTACACGCATATTTATTTGAATTTTAATTATTAATTTTGTAATACATTACAATAACAAAAAACTGATTTTCATTTACACTACTACATAAATAATTATTAATCAAAAATTCATAGAAATTATAAGCTGTAAATATTTATTATATATAAAAATACCTAATATAAAATAATAAATTCATAAAATTTATAAATTAAAATAATAAATTTAAATTTAAAAAACTGATCTCTCCGATATCAAAAAAATATATATGATATGAAATGAATTCAAAAAAACAAATTAATAAAATAATGAAGTTATAAAAAATAAATTTGCATAAAAGTAAAATTTTAAAATAAAAATTATAAAAATTTCATAATTCAAAAATATTAAAAGAAACTAAGTAATGTAAATTTTATTCAAAATATTAAAATATATAAATTGGAATAAAAAGAAAAAAGGCATAATTTCATTCTATGTATGTAGAATTCTCCAAAAATTATTCAAATTTCTAAAATTATTTAAATTTTTTTGAAGAACATAAACTTTTTAATTATTCATAAAATTTTAAACTTACATTAATTTTCGATATTTTATTTATTGAAAATGAGAATTTTCTTTAATTGCTTTATATCAGTTTAATTTCCTAAATTTAAAAAAATTCATAGAAGTTGGATGATTTTCGTAAATTAATAATTAAAATTTGAAAAACAAAAGAATTAATTTTAGATTAATTAATCTAAGCAATTTAGCTTTCATTAACTATTATAGAAAGTTATAACTAGTATCGGCAATTTCTAATCTGAGTTTAAATTAATTTAAAACTTTAATAAATAAAATAAAAAATTTCCAACTTTTGTAATTCTAAATATGAATTTTTTATGACATTAAGATTTAATTTTATCATAGATCTAAACTAATTCAAATTTTAAATTTTAAAAACCCTTAACTGAGAATATATGTACATATGTTTGAAATTCTTTTTTTTATATATTAATAATATAATATATATTTATATGCATACATAAAAAAAAAATAAATAAATAATTGAAATAAGTAAAATTTGAAATATTTAAAATTTAGTGTTAATAATTAAGGAAATCTATTATTGTATAGGATGATTACTATATATATATATATATATACATATATATATAATTATGTATAAATAAAAATATAATTTTAATATTAATATTATACCCGATTTGAAAACAAAAAATTTGTTAAACTATAACAAAAAACAAAAAAACAAAACACTTTTGGTGAATTATAAATAATAATAAAAAAAAAAAACTAGTAGAAAAGCATTGGTAAGAAAATATTAAAAATATTGAAAAATTTACAGTATAAATTAAAATACACTATAATATTATAAAAATAAAAAATATAGTTTTTTAAAAACACAAAAAAAAAAAAAACAAAATCAAAAAAAAAAAAAAAGAAGAAAATTATTCATTTTTTTTTTTGTCATTCATGAAATTTTTGAAATTTAGTGATAGCCATTGTGTATCTACCAAAATGCAGATCTAACATCTATTTATATAGTTAAGCAATAAAAATTGTTGTTGCTGAATAAATCAGATTGATGTTATATCTGCATTCTGGTAAACGCCCTATATGTTTTTTTATTACAACTAGAAAAGAAAAATGAAAACTGCAATTTAAAAAATTAATATTAAAAAATTAATATTAGTTTCTCACATTTTAATTTTTTTTCAGCTTTAAAAAACAAAAAAAAACAAAACTTTTTAGCAATGTTTTCGAAGTTTATAGTTTAAGAATTAAGAACAAAAAAATAAAAAAAAATTTTTTGGTATAGTTTTTAATTTTAACACTTTTATTAATTGTAATTTAATTGAAATAAAAAAAAAAATTTATGAACTTTACAAGAAAAAGAGAAAAAAGAAAAAAACAAATTACAATATTTGTAAATCTACTTATGTTAAAATAAATATATTTCTTTTTAATGAATATTTAATTAAAAAAAAAAATTGAATTTGAATTTAATTCATTTTAAGTTTCTTTTTTGTTAAGTAAATTAATTTTATATTTTAAAGCTTTTTGAAACAAATACAGACAATTTTCATTTAAATTCCACACATTTTATAAAATAATAAAAAATATATTTTAAATCTATTTTGATATCCAGTTTCATGGAATTTGTCTACTATCAAAGTTATCAAATTAGTTTTTGATTAACAATATTCTTAACTTTATACATTTACTTCAATTTCTTTAATGAACTTATACATAATTTGTAATACACTTCAATTAACATAAAAACAAAATTTATTCTTAACTCTTTTACAAACAAATAAAAAGATACATAAATACATACGTATACAATATTATAAAAAAAAAAAATGATTCTTCAAAGTACATATTGCGTTTATTTTGTTATTAAAATTTTCACAAAATTTCTTGCTTTTATTATAAAATATGAAATAATATATTTTACGATTTTTCATTGATTAAAAAACAAATAGTTTGTAAAATTTTTTCTATATAACATGTATATTGATGTTTAATAGTATTCTGAAATATTTCAAATGAATAGATATGATCTCGAACAAAATTTTTTATTTTCCAAATACCGGTTTTTAATGGTTTATCATCAGTATAATAATTTAAACCTAAAAACAAAAATTATATTATTATATAACAAAATGTAAATGATTTGAATTTAATTGCCGGTCTTATTTATTTTTACCTCTTTTATTAAATTCATTTTGAATTTCAAAATCTTTTTCTAATATTACTTTATCAATACGTCTTAATTTATCATAAATTCCTTCTTCTCTACATATTTGATGAGATGATATTGAATTATAATAAACTTTACTACACCATATTATATTACCAATATCATTAAAACCGACTAATGCTTTAATAGAAGTATTCTCTAAAATAAAATTTTAATATTAAAATTTAATTCAAATATATTTTAAATATGTATGTATAATGTACCTTTATCATGTTTAGAATTATTTTTTTCTATTGAAAATTCAAATAATTCAATAATTAAACAAAAACTTTCTCCATGTCTTTTTGATGGCCAATTATTTCCCGTATATAAAATTGAATGTAGAATTGATAAAAATATATCAAAACTATATGATATTTCTTCTTCTGTCATATTAAATAATACTGACATTCTTAAAAAATTTAAATTTGTTCTTATATGAACCATTAAGATTGTTATAAATTCTTCGATGGGAATTTTATTTAGATATTCAATTTTACATAATTCATTTTCTGATTCTATATAATTATTTGTTTTTTTAATTAATTTTTTAAATATATCCAAATTTTTAATACCAGTCCAACATTCTAATTTAATTGGTGTATTTAAAGTTTCATAAAAATATTTTGTTGATTTATTATTCAAAATAGATAATTGCAATTTAACATCATTTAAAATATCAGATGAATCAGTCTAAATTAAAATATAAAAAGCATAAATTTTCGAAATTACTATTAATTAACTTTATGAATTTTCAAGATCATTTTAATAAGTAAAGTTTACCTGTATCCCAATATCTTGCATAGCTAAAAAATCTTCCTCACCTTGCATCGCAAAATCAGAATCACAATCATTCGATATATCTGAAATAAATTTTTCATCTTCAAATTCATATTTAATTTTTTGTAGGCTAATAGGATTTTCTTCTATTCTATAATTTGTACATTCATTTTTTAAATCAAAACCATAAAAATCTGGACTAATTGATCTATTATATATTTTTGTAGCGTTTTCGTTAATCTCTTCAGGTTTGTTAATCACACAATTTTCTGATATTTTCATATTTACATCTTTAGTTGCAACTCTGTCTGAGAAGCTATGATCTTTTGATGAATATTTTACTACAATAAGTAAGTATACAGAATCAAAAAATGTTTATATATATAAAAACAATATTTTTACATACTCGGCGGAAAATTATATTCTTGAAAATGAGTTCCGCACATAAGTAAGTCATCCATTGTTTCACTATTTGCCAATAACATATTTGACCATTTATTATTAGATTCTGTTATACGGGGAATTTTGTAAAAAATATCGTCAGTCGATTCACACTTGACAACGCAACACTTTATTTCTTTCTAAAATAATTTGAGTTGATTTTTTAAAAGGAATTATTATAATAATTTTATATTACCTGCGAAGTTATAAGAGACATATTATTTGAATGTGGATCTTCTATATCTTCAAAATTGGTATTTTTTTCTTGAAGATATAAGATTTCAACACCAAGTTTTTCGGGTTTTATTACTGGTTCACTTACACTATTATTTTCTGGTTTTGATAAATCGAAACCATAAAAATCTGGACTGGGAGATCTATTATCAATACGTCTACTTGGGTAGCTGTACCTTAAAGGTTTTATTTTTAATTTTAATTTCTTTCTTATTTCAAAACTTCTTTCATTTGATGGTTTTGACGTATGATTTGTCTTTGTTTTCATTCCTTTTTCTATAGGCGGTAAATTCCTATCTGGTATTGAGTCTTCTTTAAGAGTATATTTTGCTAAAAAAAAATCAAATTAAATTGATAATTAAACTAACCACAAATACTAGTGATTTCGTGACTTACATCCGGAAAAGCTATTAATATTAAAATGGCCTGAACATACTAAAAAATCATCATTAACCTCGGTAGCAATTTGAAGAGCTTCTTTCCACTTATTTTGTAGTTCCATATCTTGAGGAAAATTGTATAAAATGCTTTCCATAAGTTTACATTTTTTGACACAACAACCTTTTTTATTTTGGAATATTTCTTTAGGCATTTCTTTACATAAAAAAATTGATAAAAATTTATGATATTTCAACAAAAATCTAACAGAAACTTTCGAAATAAAAACTTCTTCAGACTTTTGACGTTTAACAATATTTTGCAACTTCAATTTTAGACAGTTATAATAGCGTTTTGTTGTAACGGCAACACAAAAATCGACTGGATTTAGGGAAGAAAACCGTGTAAATACTAAAACGATAAAATCGAAAGTGGGTATAAAATAAAATGGAATGAAGGTGATAGTAAAAACAACAGAATTTTAAAAAAGAAATTTAAATGATGTTTCTACTCGAACCTTTTGATTTAATTCCCATTTCCATTACGCAATGGAATCTTAGAAAATGAGAATTTATAGCAGCTTTTTCTCTTATCGAAAGCGTAACGTGTGACTGACCACAGAACTTCTCAAATATACTCCAGTTTGACAGGTACGGAAAGTCTTAAATATTCCCACCAAATTTACTGAAGCCTATATCTATTTTATTATTACCCAGTTTATCGAATCTTTAAGACTAGGTAGACTTTTACCTAATATTATAGAAACCCAAAATAATTCGACTTTGTTTCACGTATCCAATTCCAGAATTACCGAAGCAGACGGGCCGGGCCACAACTGTAAAATTCTTTTGCAGCATGCGCATAATTTACGTTATGATCAAATCTTCAATACCGTTAAACACTGAAATTACAGCATTTAAGCTCTTATTTTTACTGTATTTCTGAATTTATTAATAACCTGCCTTAAAAATGATTAACCATAATAAAAACATACATAAGTATACAAACATATGTATGCGTATACTACATTGATACGCATGCATATTATGCGTATCAATGTAGTATACGCATACTACATTTAATTGTAGTATGCGTAATTTGGACGTAATTTGGAAATCAAATTTTTGACGTAATTTGGAAATCAAATTTTTAAACTGTATAAGATTTATGTACATCCGGTACATATTAGGTCCGCTCTTTAAATATTAAAACAAAAATGTCGAATTTGAGTTTTTTGATATAAAAAACAAAAAAAACTATTTGTACACATTAAATGGAAAATTTATTTTATAAAAAACTTTTATTTAGTAAAAAATCAGACAAATATGATTTAGCTTAGGATTATCTTAATTTTAGCTTCTATTCAGTTATTCGGTTTACAAAAATTAAAATTTAAAGGTACTTTAGGAAGTCGAAAAATTTTTGTATTTTTCTCTACCAAAAATAAAAGAAAAAAACAAAAAAAAAATTATTCTTCTTTTTTGCTCAAATTGAATTGAGAAAAAGTTTTTAACATCAGTCTACTTTTGCAGTTTGTTTTTTATGATTTTCTAAAAATGAGAAAATTTCCCTGCTTAAAACTTGTAAGCTTTTTGAATATTCTGAATCCGGTGATTTGACCGCAAGTGGTGTTCCACAATCACCACCTTCTGTAATCGCTTGATCTAATGGAATACTAACCAAAATTTTTACATTTAATTTATTTGCGAAGCTTTCAGTTACGTTACGAAATATTTGAATTTCATTTTTACAATTAGCACAAACAACATGTCTCATATTTTCGACCATACCAATTATTGGAACACCTAATCTTTTGTACATTTCTCCACCTCTTGTTGTTACTTCTAGAGCAGCAGTTTGTGGTGTACTAATTAAAATCACACCATCAATTGGTATATTTTGTGCCAATGATATATGAACATCACCCGTCCCTGTAATAAAAATTCATTTTTTTAATATTTCATTAAAATAAAATTAATATTTTAATTTTTCATTAAAATAACTAACCTGGCGGGGTATCAACAACAAGAATATCTAACGGAGCCCAAACTACACCACGAATTAATCTTTGAGTTGCAGACATTACCAAAGGTCCTAAAATTTTAAAATAATTAAATATGTGTGCCTAATTAAGTTTTTTTGATACATGCCTCTCCAAATTATTGCTCCAGTTTGTGAAAGCAACCCCATTGACATACATTTAACACCATAGTTTATTGGTGGTATCATAAAGTTCTGATCGTCCACCATTGGTTCTTCTGATATATTCATCATTAAAGGCACAGATGGCCCAAAAACATCTGCATCTAGAAGACCGACTTTTTTTCCTAATGCCGCCATTGTTACTGCAAGATTAACTAAAATTTAAGAAAAAAATTAAATCGTAATCATTGCAACATATTTGTATGAACAAATGTTTTTTGAACAAACGTTAAACTTTAGAGTTAAATATTAGTGAATTGGTATTATGTATTATAGTTATATATTATATATGTACATATACCACTAGTCATTTTTACTAATGTTAGATTTACATCTAAAAATTCTACCTGCAGTTGTTGATTTTCCAACTCCTCCTTTACCAGAGGCAACCACAATAATATTGTTTACACCAGGTATTGGAGCTTTTTTCGGTAATCCTCTTGTCATTAAATCGATTTGCTGTTGAGTTGGAGGTTTTGGACTAAAAGCCCTCTGAAAAATATAAAAATTTATTTTTATTTTTTTTTTCATTTTCCCTATTTAAGTTACTTACGAAACTGTTAAACATGTTAAATAAAATATTTTTCTGAATCATTTTTTCTTTTTTGTTTACATTCCAATTAAAAAACAAAATGTTTTTTTTTTTTTTAATTTTTATTTATTTTCTACGTCTTTAAATCACTGCCGCAAATAACAAAATATACATAAAAATATATTGCCATAAACATTGTATAAAAACTACACATGCCATATGACATTGACATATTTAAGGGCTGTAACAATTATATACCGATTTGTGTATTTGGATATGAACCCTATGAACAGTATTGAATACTTAATTTCATTTTTCCAGCTCTGTTTGAATGATACTAGTGGAAAGTAAACACAAAATGGAAAATAAAACATTTATTGCAAGAAATTTTAAAATACTTTTGTGAAACAGGATTTCCATAATTCATTCTTTTACTCTTTTTAAAAATTATTACCTGCTCGTGATTTCACATGAGTTGAAGAGAAACTATTTAATTTATTAGATCTCTTAAAATTATTATTTAAAATTTTATCACAATTTTTAATACTTTTAAGGTATTTGACTTTGGCTACTTTTAATACTTCTACTACTTGAACAATAACTTACTATGAAGCACTAATATCATTCTAGCGAGTAGCGTATGTACTAGTGGTTATGGCAACGCTTATTAAAGTAAAAAGTTAGTACGTTAATATAAATCTATAATTTTTGAATCTTTATGCTGGTTATTCTTGTTTGTTCATTTTCAAGAACGGTCGTTATTATCAATCAGAATTGAATAAATCATGTCGATTTTTTGACGCGATGAGAAGTTGGTTAAATTTATACTTTAAGTGGCGGCGAGCAAGGAAATCTAGCCTAAAGCTTCGAAAAAATTGTATTTTACATAAATAAATTTGTTTAATTATTCCAACTCTAAAATTTCAAGGTGAATTCATTAAGTATGTCGGTCGCGTTAAGACAATCTTACTTTAAAGACGCATTCATATCTCTCTCACAAAGGTTCATTATCTCAATTTTATTTTTTGTTTATAGTGTAGTGTAGAGCTATTGTTAAAAAATGAGTTGAAAACTGACATTTTATTTCTTACTTTATATTATTTGACATTTCTACATTGTCATCTGTGTGCGAAGAAAACTTCTGATTGAACGAAAGTCTCCAAAAATTAAGGGAAAAAATGGCTGCATAATATTTTTTTTTTTTTGTGGAGAACCGAAGTATTTTCATTTTTGAAAAAAGTATCTATAAAAAAATAAATACTAAATAAAAAACTGTGTTTTATTTGTGTGTTTTTACAAAAAAAAAAAAGAAAAAAAAAATATTAAAAATATTTAATGATAAAAAAAAGAAAATTTTGATTTTGTAAAAAAAATATTTGTTTTTTTTTTTCTTAATTTTTTTTTTTAAATAAAGAATAGAAAAAGAAAAAGTTTCTAAAATGCCACCACAGATAATTTGAAATTGTAAGCAACTTTTGAAATTGGAAAGAAAAAAATGATGGAATAAAAATTAAAAAAAAAGTACGCTTTTTTCCTTTTTGTGTTTTTTTTTGGTGATCTTGGGATTGATTACAGGTTTAAGTACCTAATTATTTTTTTTATATTAAAAAAGGACAGAGAAAAAAAACAAAGATAAAGGAGAATAAATTGGGTAAGTAAAAAATTTTTAATTTTTTTTTTTTGAAACTTGGTTTTGCAAGGATTTCCAATTTTTTTCGGAAATGAGATTGGAAGCAGTAGTAGCTCTTCTAGTTAATTGTTCTCTAATACCCATTAAAAATAATTAATGAGAAATTAATGAATGGTTCTTTAAAAATAAAATAAAATCAATTTAGAAATTTTTCTTCTTTATAAATTTTATTGCGTAATTTTTATTTTTAATAGTTTTGGATAATTTTTGAAAATATACTTATTTAAAACTATTAATTTTTAAAATTAAAAAAAAAATATGCGCCGACAAATTAAAAGCAAAAAAAAACAATGGGTGGAGCTTAAATTAAAACTCCGCCTACTTAAAAAAGAAACGCCCATTTTAAAATGGGGGGTGGGACTAAAAAAATTGTTTTTTTGCTTTTTGTGTACATACATACATACATGCAAACGTATACATACAATATTAAAATACACGAAGTGGACCCGGTAATTTAATAGTGGGTGGAGTTTTTTTTTTTTTTTGTAAATAAAACTCCGCCCTAATTTTTTTTTTTTGTTATGCTCTCAAAGATTGATTTTTTCCGATTTCTAAAATTTTGCGTTCTTAATTATTTATTTGAAATCTAGATTTCATTAAATTTTACTTTGATTTTCGGGAAATTTAAAAAAAGATTATTAAATTTGTTAAAAATAATGAGAAATTTTAATTAAAATTAAAAAAAAATTTAGAATGAATTTCATTTAGCGCATATGTTTTTAAAGTTTCGACGCAACAGTAGAGTTTTCTTTTTCTTATTTTTTTTTATAAATACAATGTGAACATATGCTTAAATAGTTAAATCAGTAAGCGTGTGTGTGTATATTTATATGAATAAATTGTGTAAATGTACGCATATATATATACACATATAAATGTGAAAATAGTATAGGTATGTGCATATGTGCTTAAGTGCGCATAAAATACCATACAAAAAAAAAATAAGAATTTTTTTTTCATAATTTTTTTTTTTTTTTAATAAACACAACATAAAAAAAAAGAGGGAAACAAGAATATATAAGGAAGGAGGTGGTATTATGCCCGGGAATAAAAATAATAAAGAAAATAAAATAGAAATGGGAAGCAAAGTCGAAAAACATATTCAAAAAATTTAATAAAAATAAATGTACATGTAATAATTATTTAAAAAAATAATAATTAAATCACAAACACATTTACATTTTGAAACTATGTTTGTACGTATATGCGCTTTCAAAAAAATAAAATATGTATAAAATATATATATAAATGTGTTGGTGTATTAAAAAAAATGTATGTAGGTATGTGAAAATATATGTATAAGTACACGTAACTTGATCAAATTTAAATATTTTGTATGTATTGCTAATATTGTAATCTTCCTTGTGTTAGTTATTTATGTATGGGTGTGTAGTTATATTTTCAAAATTCAAAAACTTTTCGGCCTTACTGCATTTGTTTTTTCTTCACTATAGATGTGGATACGTTAAGTTTGTTTGCAGTTAGAAATGCAATCACAGCATGTTTTTCTTCTTTTATGTCCAATTCCTGTTAAATTTTCAGTTCTGCAAGAGATCTGCCACAGAATTTGCTGTAAAAAAAAGTAGTGCCAATTTACTGTTGCTTATTTATTTGTCGTATCTCTTTTGTAATTACGTTAGTTTTGACATTTATTGTAAAAAGGTAAATATCCAGAATTATTTTTTCTATTCTGATACGTCATAGGAAAAATTTGATCAGTACAGTTGTTTTATCTAAGGCCGAGATCTTAGACTCAAACCTGAATCAAGCAAAAAAAAAATGGGTATTTCCCATAGTTCCAAATGCATGCAGTTTTTGTTTATCATTATCGTTATGTGCGTCATTAATCCCAATAGCCTATTTAACGCTAGATTTTGTTTGCGAAGAATAAACAAAGAAAATTACTTCATTTTCTTTACTTACTTCCGCGTTTTTTGCTATAAAACGAATTAAGTCGAACAAAAACTACGAAAAAGCAGCTGTAAATATTTCGAACAAAGATTTAGCTATCTAACGAATTGTAACTTACCCAATACAAATAAAAAATTATTAAAAATTATTATGCTCTGAAAAGTTATTTTAGTAGGGATACACAAATTCATGTGCTTACATACTGGACTGACTCAATGTTGAACCGAAAATGCTTAACAAATGCTCGTTACAATAAATATTACAACTAAGTAGCGAATAACATAATTGCCAAATTTTTGATGTACTTACTGGGAAACAATCAATATGAAACCATCGGTTCAATAGCGCTTGTTATTGATGTAAATCGTATAGTGATTTTATTTTGCTATTATTCCAAGCCTGCAGCACACTGTTTACCTTAAATTTTTAAGTCGTGAATATAATATTTCACGAATGAAATGATCTTTCATATGTTTTATTTGATATTTAAATATCAAATTATGAAACGTCATTAAATGTCAAATCAACTGACGGAGTGTAAACGGCTACATGACGCTATTTTTATAAGACGGCCATTTTTAGTCGTTTTAATTAACAAAAGTGTTTGAAACGTAATCTTGAAGAAAGTAGTTAACTAACAACATATCACATGATTTTTATAATGGGGTTCAGGAAGTCATCAAAAAAATTTACGCAACCTTTGTGTACGAATTAATTAAATAAAGTTCAATAAATAAAAATGTCGTGTTATGACATACATATGTGTGTATACAATAGAAATTAGTCGCTAATACAACGAAAACCAGATTAATTTTTAAGTTTACATTCCCATAATTTCAAAAAATTGTACATTTTTCCAATAGCAAATATCGATAAATAACAGTACAATAATACAATATAGCTAGACAAATGTACGAAAACATATTACGCCTTTGACAATTTTCGGTTATTAAATTTTATTTAAAATCTCAGGCTCTTTCGAAATTAAAATGAAAAACATTAAAAACACTAAATATATTTTGGAAAAACATTTGAAATTGACAATTTAGGGTGTCAATTTTTGACAGTATTCGAAAAGTTTTCCGATTGTGCTATCCGAAGAAGAAGTAATATTCGTATAGTTCGTAAATTTCTGCTATGCTAAATATTCGTAAAGTTCTGATACCATTTATATATATTCTTTGCTTAAGTAATTCGTTAAGCAAAAAAGTAATCAGTTAAGGGATCACTCAATTAATGTAACAAGCTGACAGTTTATTGTATACTTTTAACTTTGACAGAAGTGTGCACATGTTTGACAATTTCCGTATCTATTGCGTTCTTAAAATAGATATTTCATTTACAACTTAATGTATAGCTGCAAAATTTAGCAATTAACAGTTTAGTTATGTACTTACATAACTGATAACACAGTACCTATTACTGAATTTTTGATATTACTGCGTGCATATGACTTCTGCCAATTGTGACAATGACAGCAACTACAGATTTAAAAAATCTGTTATATAACTGAGAACATTTTTAAGATAAATCTTTTAATACTTGATTTTTAGGAACTTTCTTGGCTGTATGTAATGTGACATAGATATTATAAACTACACCAACAATTTAAAATCCCAAAATAACTTAATTTGTACATTAATATACCGTGAATTTAGGCTGTGCTAGCATGCATACATATGTATGTATATTTTTATATGAAACAATAGTATACATACAGTCATATAAGTATATTGTTTTCTTCGTGTTTCCACATTACTTTTCTTTATTAGGCATGGAGTTTGTGTGCTTATGTACATCTATGGATTACATCGCTATGCATAATATATAAAATATGTATGTAAGTATGCACGTGTGTACATTTTTTCCTGTTCAAACATTTTCCAACATCTAAAGTATTAATCTTTTTTCCAAATATGAATTTTTTTACTTCTGTTCCATTTACATATTTCATTTCACATGGAAAAATAAACCTTGTATAAAAAAAAAAATCTGTAATTTTATCTTTTCTATTCTTTTCCCTCATATCAAAAATCACAAAATGGCTGTTTGTTTCATGATAAATTTCAAGAACAGAAGAAAAATACAACAAGAACGAATGAAATAAAAACAAAATACAAGTTAAAAAAAAACAAGTATCAGAGAAAGAGAAATATAAACTTGCTTGTTTTGTTTGTCTTTTCTGTTTTTCATTTTTTATTTTTCTGTTTTATTTTTAAATTTTCCAAGCGCTATGAACCGCTTTTGAATAATATATTCGTGTTGTTATGCTTTTATTTCGTTTTTAATATTTTTTTTTTTACTATCTCACGATGTCAACAACGACAACACGGCAACGTCATTAGGTTTTGTACAGTACTGCAAAAAAGCATTATTTTTAAATATCACCAGTGTATAAAGCAGCAATTTAGAAGCGAATGAGTGAAAATATATCTGGCAGTACTGTTGTAATATTTTTTTTATATAACATGTTGTGTAGAAAATAATTTTTGTTTTGTAATGGGTCACGTTGTGATTAAAAAATTAAAAAAAAAATTAAACGTGATTAAGATGGATTGTCGACGTTGGCTTGCAATTGTTTGAATTTTTAATTGGTTTTTGATAGAAAATTAATTTTTGTCTGAAGAGTTACTTAATATAAGCTGAATTGTATATTATTGTGTAAATGAAAAACAATATACAATTCAGCTTATGAGGCTTAATTGCTGAATTGTACAGCAATATAGTAATATGGAAAATTTAAAGTCATGATTCATTTAGCGATTATTTTAGTCTGTGCATTTCTGTATTTCAATCCTGTGTTCTTTATTTCTGGATGAATCTGGATCAGCTTGCTGAATTGCATACTGACTGCTTTATTATTGCACAAAAGTAATAGAAATCGAAAAATTTGTAGCATTCGGCATTGAATGTCTGACACTAGAAAGATTCCGTGAAGGACTCTTTAAAATATTATTGAATTTGGTTATTTGTGATCTTGTAAAAGTTTCAATAATTTTAGATCATCTTAGGTACAAACTCAATGAGGGAATGAAGAATTTATTGGAAAAGGAGGTGTAAAATGTTATTGAATACGGAAAAAATTGATTTTTAAAAAATATATTTTTGTTAGCACTAAATTTCTAGCTTTATAATGAGAATTCGAAAATTTTTTTTTTAGTATTCTTTCAACTGACTTACTTTCGGAGCTTACTTATGTTTATGAACTTTAAAACTTTTTTAGTTAAAGTTGAAAACACTTGCACAAATAACAAACACATAGTGTCTGCATGCATGAATGTAAACTCTATGTTGTTATGTAGTTTAGATGAATGAAATATTGTAATGTCATCTCTATCATATTGTGTAAGCTCAAATAATATTTTGTTACTTAAATTTTTATTACCCTTATGAAATTATAACAAACCGCTTCTTAAAATGTTCCTTGAATGCAAAAAAAATCCGAAAAAATTAACTTAAATATTTTTATAATTTAAAAATAAAACAGAGTGATCGAAAAATGTAATGTTGTTTTGTCACCATCTACGTAGCGAGTTTCCAAATTAAAATATTCTCATGAAAGCATGTGCATCATTAAAATCTAACCTGAGTCTTAAATTAATCTAACCTGAGATTAAAATCATGAAAATCTAACTTAAATCTAAGGGAGACCTAAAGTTTTTGTGGAAACATGTTTAATGTGTGGAAAAAAAATGTTTTATAAAATCAAATTCGGAAATATTTTATTAATATCATTTATTCGATATTAATTTGTTGGATAATTTTGTCCTGCTAGATTAATTGTTTTATCGTAAAACTAAGATATGTATAAATACCCTAAAAATGAAAACAACATTATTGTAAATATCGATAAAAAAAACGGCAACTCTAATATATACAAAAATTAAATGAAGTGAGATAGCAACAACTTATTTGTAATCTTTTATGATTTAAAAAACTGTATTGTGCTTACTTATCGCATAAGGTTGCGATTCATTTCAGGGATGAATCTTTGATCATCTTCCAGCAAAAAATCCTATGGATGAGGAGAAAATGCAGATATACTGGTTTTCGAACTACAGCCTGTTGAAAAAAATCGCTCCCAGATTTTGCTTTCATGTAAAGAAATAGTAATAACTTCGGAGTCGTGCAACCAAGAGTTACTATTATATATTTGTGTTAAAGATAATTAATAGAATTTTATTCTTGTTTTCACAATCAATTATATTTGACCTTTAGTTTTTGAGAAAAAGTTACCTAAAAATGGAATTCTGGATTTTTTTCGAATTTTTTTTTTTTAAACACAAAAAATTTCTTGGAAATATAATATTTTCTTCAGCGTCCCATAGTTTTGCCATTAAAACCTATTAAATGAGTTTAAAATATATCTGAAAATTACCTGTTTCATATATTTAATGCAAGTTCAAAATATCGCCTCATATTATACCTGTTTAAATAATAAGGTCTAAAAAATCGATATTTCGATATTATTGCCCTAACCCATATAAAAAGGTAAAAACCAATATAAAAACTAAATTTTATTTATCAGTTTACTACAAACATTTTTTTTACATTATCAATAATCTCAGGTCTCAAATATGTATGGAGGTATGTTCACATGTAGGTAGAAGATAAAACGCAATTAAAAGAGAGACATGGACAATTTCAATTTTAATAATTTATTATTTATCACTATTTGCTGAATTTATTTTTATTTTGATATATAATTAAAAACACAAGCTTCTCTCACTGTTGCCAAATATTTTTCTTAATAATTTTTTTAATTTATTAATTCTCTTATATTTATCATAGCGTTTTGTTTATTGGATTTAAAAACGGCATTACGTCGAATCTTCTTAAATTAAGCTAAGAATTATTATACTATTATATAAGTACTCAGATACATGCATAATATATGTGTATCAAGTTTGTGGATAATGCTATATCTGGTTTTTAAAATACATAAGGACAATTAGGGAACAATATTTAATTCTCTTAGTTTTTTTTTTTTTTTGTTTGCACTAAATTTGTTGATTAAACTTTTGAAAATTTCAATAAAAAAGTAAAAAATAAGAAAATTCATGCGACTTGGCAACACCGTTCGAATTATACATTCACAAACCACAAGCCAAAAAATAATAAACTATTGACTATTGAGTATTTATTATGTTAACGTTTGTGCTGCTTGATACCTAGTTCAGTTAGTACATTCTTAACGCTTGTTTTGATATGACGTATTTTATGAATGTATTTTGTTTTTAATCTTTCGTTTTTACTGGCCTATTCGTTGCCGGAATTAAAATATATTTTTTTAAAGTGTAAAGATAAGCAAAATTCAACTACATAGTTTCAAAATTATTTTGTTCTCTTAGTCATCTGAGATATATTTTTGAGTAGTAAACAAAATTCACGGAATAAATACATATTTGTGTATGCATATGTTTGTGCGAGGAGAGAATAACATTTCGTAGTAGATTGTAAAGAATAAAAACAATTAAAGTAGTAGTAGAGAGTTAATTTTTGTTGAGTAATAAATAAATCTTGTTTAATTTTAACAAATTTTAAGAGTTTATTTGAATTTTTCATAAAAAAAAAATGGGCTGTCTTGAATACCTATCATACGGTAAGTATCAAAATTATTTTTAAAATAATTTGATTGTAATTTTAGTAACATTCAAAACATTGTTGAAGAAATTTTTAATAACTTTTATTAACTTTTTATTTGAAGTTATTAAAGTTCAGCTTTTTAGCCCATAAAACCGAAGATTTTCATTGATAAAAATATTAACAGTTTTAGTAATTCTCATATAAAATTTGTCTATTTTGTCTTTGTCATAAAATTTTTCAAATATTTTTACTATTTGCTAATATTTTTGCTAATCTACAAAATTATTATTTGTTCACAATCTCTTGTTTCACGAATTGCTTTGTTCTTACTTATTCATTAGTTTTTGAGAAATGTGTAACTAAATGGAGAGAAATACACACGTTTGTACAATTACAAAATAGTATACAATACTCAATATTTCAATTTCAATGAAAAGAATGAAAACGGAGAAAAAAGAGAAAGTATTTCAAAATAAAGTTAAATTTATCTCTATATTGAGAATTATTTTTTTTGAATACATACGTGGTATGTATTCAAAAAAAATAATTCTCATTTCACAACATTTGGGTGTACATAATATGTATTTTTCAACATTAATAAAATCAAACTGTATTGGCTCTTTGTTAATCTGTCTTACTAATAATTGATACTTTTCGAAAATACTAAATTATCAAATGTTAATAATCTAACAGGGATGTAATGTTAATGCAATAGGAATGAAATGTTAGCAGAATTATAAACATTGTCTTATCTTTAATTATTATGCCAAAATATTTTGTAAGCACATAAATACATATGTGACTTAATTGATATTGTAATTTAGGCTTAAAATTGTTGCTTCAAGTTGCGTATATGTTTTGGGATAGTGCTTGATGGCTTTGTGTTTTAATTGCCATATTTTCATCGGAATCGTGGTGAATTTAGTATTAAAACCATATTATTGCAATTATTGAATATTTACCAGCATTAGTTACTATTAAGTGATATGAATTTATTTAAATACATACATATGCATATATGTATTTATGTAATTACATATATATATAGATGTTATAATATATAATGATTTTTAATGGGTATTTAAGATTGTTTTAATAACAGTTTTTAAAAATTTTTATATATTCAATTAAAATACACAACACAAAAAATTAAAAACTAATCAGTACTAAATTATTTATTTTTCTTTTATTTCAGTAGAAATGGATGATAGCGATGATTCAGTAAATAATATGGTATCAAATTTACCATTATTATTTGCTAATGGTTATCCAACATCTTTAGAAAAAATTACTGAAACACAAATACAGAAATTTATACCATTCATGGTTCAATGTTCTTTAGGAAATATAAATGTACCGGGTAAAGAAGAATATAATGAACCGGAATGGTGGCCTGAAGATATCGAATTTTCAATACCTATAACAAGACCAAAAAAGTTCCAAGGAGTGAGTTTTTATATAAAGTTTTTGTTTTTTTTATTTTCTGTTGTTCAATATAAATTTTATTTTTGTTGTAGGATTGGTTACACAAAATGAAGGAAATTGTTAAAATTTGTTATCAATTTCATAAAAGTATATTTTTATTACGTTTTTGTAATGATTTGGCAGCATATGAACATACCTGGTTACGTTTTATTAATAATCATAATTCAACAACATCTTTATATGATAGACGAAGTAATAAATTGCTAGTAACATTCCGAAATGAAAATATGGTATGTTGGAGAAGGCTTTTAAAATTGAATATTATATTTATAATATCTTTTAATATTATTTTAAGACTTATGATCAGCCACCGCAAAAACGAAAGTGTTTACTTCAACAGAAAGCACGAACACAAAATGATAATCAACAGCAGCAGATGGTAGAACCGGCGCTTTTTGATATATACCTATGTGATAATTGTGACGCTGAATTATATTCTTATGAAGCCAACAAAGTAAGTGCAACATTTACTATTCAAAGAATTTTTTTTTAAATAATGTGAATTTCGGCTAATATTGTACTATTAATTTTTAAACATAATAAAATTTTATGTTTTGCAAAACAATTTGAATTAAAATAAATAGTAATAAATTATTTTTTTTTTTAGGAGCATGAAAAAATTTGTACATCTTATGATGATGATGATGTAATTTTATGTAATCCGGTTCAACAAGAATGTGAAGCATATAACAATTCAACGAGATCTTCGGCAGCTAATTTAGCTGATACTACTAATAATGCGGTACCCACCCATATAGAAGCAGTTATTGATAGTGAAGAACTACGTAAAGATTTTTTATTAAATTTTCAATTATGTTTCAAAAGATCTTCAGAGAGTGCATCATCACTTTCATCAACAATACATCAAAATTCTAATAGCGAAGATAGTTGCTATAGCAATCATAATATACATAAATTTGATAGTACTAGTATTGATAATGATAGTAATAACAATAATAATAACAAAAATATTAGAAACAGTAAGAACAACAGTAATAGTAATAATAACGATAATAATAATAATGATAATTACAATAGCATAAACAAATCTAATAATGTTAGTAATAACAAATTAACCAAAGAATCTAACATTCCCAGAAAGCCTGGGAGGCCTTGTGTTAATGCTTTTACTGATAATTTTATTGACTATCGGGATAAAAAAACTAAAATAACAAGAAATAATCGGACAATTTACGCTTTGGCAAGATGCCCAAACATTCCATTTTCATCACCAGCTGGACAATTGCTTATACGGACGTTTAGATCTTATATTAATAAAGAATATTTAACAGAACGTTTGGATAGACTTGAAAGATTTTGTGCTACGCCAGTTTTACAAAAAAGTTGTCCACGGCCAACAAAATTTTTTGGTAGACAACGTTATTCATCAATACATAGTTTTAACTGTACCTATAAAAAACCACAAGAATATTCAACACACAAGTATACATTTCCCCGTAGGCAGTACTATAGTCAATACCGCATCGATAGCTTAAAGTTCCTAAATGATTTAATATTGAAAAAACGCTGCCGGCCAATTACAGTAAGATTGAGAAAAATTACTGATAATGATATAAAAAGAAAAAGGAGATCATCGTTTAGTAGTTGTAGTAGTAATTCAATTATCAATTCAGATTTAAATATAAAACTTATACGTGATCAGTCACACGGATCACCAAAATGGAAAATAACGCATCATCAAGAAAACAACAGCGATCAGAAAGGACAACAAATTTTGCAGCTTGAGCAACATGAATTACGAAAACAGCAACGTCAAAAACATAATGCTGAAAAACTAATAATAGTAGATACAATAGATTTATGCTCATCGGATGAAGAATTAGAACGTGAGTCCTCGGACATTAAATCAAAAATATATATTAATGGCGGTTTATCTTTAGCGCACTATGGTGACGTACAATTAGATGCTCAATGTAATTTATCAAATAGTAATGAACTTGAACTTGATATTAATGAAAATGAAGAAGATGATGATATTCTTCAAATAGTTGAAGAATGCCCAGCACAACCCGATCATCTTATGGAACCTTTACAATTTAATATATTTGCAAACTCTAAGAGACCTAAATTTGAAGTGCAAAAAATATTACACAAATTAAATAATGCAAATGAAATAACTGTAACACCAGTTAAGAAAATTTTAGATCCTTTATCAATTAGTTCATTAGAACCATCTAGTAATATAATTTTGTCAGGAGCATCAATAGCAAATTCAATTTCATCGAATATTATTGAAGAAATTCGTAAGCAAAATAAATTCGAAGCGAATTTTTTATCATCAAATATTACAAATTCAACAAAACCATTACAACCTTCTGTGTTTTTATTTTCTAATTATACAGCGAATTCAAATGGATCTAGCCATGCAAATTCAACAACAATGATTCTACAACAACAAATTAATAGCGATTTAAATAGTAACAGCAATAATCAAGAAAATTTAATTGATCTTTCTACAAATAATTTACATAAAAGTAAAAATTCAGAAGATATTTGGTTGCCAAATAATAATATTAGTAATATCAGTAACAATAACAATAATAATAATAGTAACAATAGTAATAATTACAACAATAATAACAGTAATTATAACAATTATATTACAAATAACAATAATAACAATCACAATAACAATAGTATAATAACATCATCTACTAGCTTTAATCCTTCATCAAATCATATTAGACAAAATATGAATCCAATTGTAACAAATTCATCATTAATAACAAATTCAACATCGCAGTTACATAATTCAAATATTACTACACCAGTTGCAAATGTTACAACAAATAAATTATTGCAATTGCAACAATTAATGCAATATGTTGACAACAATGATGTTATCAATAAAATTAGTTCGCCAAATAGAACGTTGTCTATTGATCTAACTTTATAAATTATATACTATGTATTAGTTTTTCTTTTTTTTTTTTAATTAATTATAATTTAATTATTAAATATTTTTTTTTTTTAATTTTATTTATACAAATAATAATGAGGAAATCGCTATATTAGTGAATTTGACAAATTAGAAGTTGTAAGAAATTTGTAATGATATTAGTTTTGATTTAATAGTTATGGAGATAATTTTCTATTTGCATTATTTTAATTTTAAAGCTTAACTTGTTTTTATACAAAAAATAAATCTACTGTTTAAGTCGTGGGTTGATTAAAATTCAATTTTATTTTTTTGAATTGTTTCACGATATGATGGAAAATTTTATAAAACTAAATTTTTAAAAATTCTATAAATTTGATAATCAATTTGAAAAGTTGAATATAAAACGTTGTTTTTGTCAATTCGTTGTTTGAATTTTTATTTTTTATACCCGTAATATATATTTAGATTTATAAAATAGTAATATTAAAGAAGTTCACATTTCATTAAATGCAAATTATTTGCAAACATTTATTTTATATCTTTAAAATTGAAAATTTTTACTTTTAAAACTTTCTCGATTTTTCATCTATGTGCGTATAAATAATGGGTAGGAATATAAAATTGTTGAAGGTACTTAAAAAAGTTGTAAAGTAAGCGTACTTAGAAAGTTAAACGATTTTATACTTTGATTTTAAAGTATCAACTTTCGGATTCAAAATTAAATATAGTAAAAATATAATAGGAATTTATACATTTCATTTTAAAGAAACTTAATTTTCTTGTTATAAACTGAAATTATTAGTTTTAAAATGAAAAATCAAAAATGATCATTGTATTATTCCAACAAAATTTAACAGAATTAAGTATAAAAAAGTAAAAATTAAAATAATTTATTTTATTTAATTATGAATGATCAAAAAAAAATTTTCAAAATAAATATTCTTCATTTTTTTTCACTTCTAAAACACAGAAAGTATTTAAAATAATAAAGAGCATTAATTAATTATAATTAATTTCACTTTAATAAATTAAAGTAATTAAAATTTTTTTACTAATTTCAGTAAATTCTTTTAGAATGTAAAATAAAGAACCTTTATATTATGAAGAGTTTTAATGATAAAAGATAAAATTATTATTTGTTATTGCTCAAACTAGAATTTTATTAAAAATTTACTTAATCTATATTTACTTAATCTATATAAACAGATCTATTTAATAGTGCTGTAGAAAGGTAATGAGGAAAATGTTGGTCTTTTTTCAGAAAATTAAAATTTTTAAAACTATGTGGTATACTAATTAAAATTGATATATTAAAAATCTAATACTATTTTGATTTGAATTTAAGTAAATTATAGAAATCTAATATTTCCTTCATTTAAAGAAATATTTTGAAGGCAAATAATGAGTCAAATTAAAAAAAAAACAAAAAAATAATCTCCATAATTATTTGCATTAATTAATTTATAGAACGAAATAAACTTTATAAATTAGTAACGTTTTCATGGCTTCAAAATTGTGCTAATATTGTTTATTACACAATTCAGCAATTAAAATTTATAAACTAAATTTTTTTAATTAATATCATATTAACTGCAATTTTGAAGTCAGCAATTTTGTTAAGATAGCTAGTTTTTTAATTTAATAGTTTCTAATCTGGCTGAGAAAAGAAAGAACAAAAAAGAAACACAAAGTATAAAAAGAATAATTTGATATAATAATATTATTTATTTGTTTTTTTTTTTTTTAAATATTTTATATTAGCTTGTTTTTAAATAATTTTTTAATCATAATATTTTTTTCCATTATTGTTACATACTTTTGTTTATACATATATTACATATAACAACGCATATACAGAATATATTAGTAAAAAATAATTTCGAAATTGCTTTAATACTATAATTGCTAAACAATTCAGCAATTACAATTAGGTAGCTGAATTGTGTATTAATTATTTAATTACAATTTTTGAGCTTGACATAAAAAAATGAAACAAAAATTTCTAATTTTTTTTTTTTTATAATTTGTTATTTTTAATATTTATTATAGTACTTTAAAAGTATTTATGCACATTATATTCATATTCAAAAAAAAAAATATATAAATATTGATTTGTTGATTAGAAAACAAAAATTATATCCGTGATTTCAAAAATGCGCTCACATCATGAAATTTATAAAGTATCACATTAATAAAGGTTTTGTAAAATCTCTTTAAAAAAAAAAAAATAATAAAAGCAAAGAGCTTCAAATGGGTTTTTAAATTTTGCAATTATGGATAAAATTTTGTTATATCCTTAAAAAAATGTATTAGCATAGAACTTAATATGTCATATCATAATGAAATAAAAAAAATCTTTTGGAGAATTTCTTTACAATATTATAATACAAAATCATAATATTGTAATATTTGATGCACAATTATAAACTTTTCTACATTTAGTTTTTTTTTTAAAAATTTTTAGAATTTTACATATTTTGATTTCTGTTAGCCAAATCGCATTAATAATATTTTAATGACACATATTTGTTTGACAAAATTTACTGAATTATGCAATTAAAAACTGCACTGCATTATGGAACACAAGCTGAACGATGAATTAAATTCGTATATAGCATTTATTTCTTCCATGCAACAATTTAAAATGAAAATAATTGCACTTTTTTCAACAATTCGCTTAGATCAAGTGTTAGCAATCACGTCATACGGGCGTGGTAACATGGAATATTAAATTCCATCAATAATAATTAACAGAGAGATTAGAAATAACAAGACTGAATACATACATACATTAATATTATAATTCAAGCTATTGAATGAAATAAAAAGCATTTTTTTTATTATGTATGAAAATTTCTGGTTAAAAATCAACCTGCTAATATTCAAACATTAAAATAGTCTAAAAATTATATTAATTTTTCGATATATTAAATCCTAAGTTTATATTTTAGTTATATTGTTTTTTTTTTTTGTCTTAATATTTAAATTAAAAATTTTGACTATCAACTCTACGTGACTTCAAAATTCCAATAATACTGTATTGGTACATAAATTAACTTAAGTGGTGTGTGTAGTAATTACAATTTTGCTGGAAATTTGAAGTCAGAATTTAAAAAAAATAAATATATTTTTTAAAATGACAAATGCATGTATGTGCAAAATAATAAATTCTCCAAAATGATCTGAAAAATATAAACTGGATAAAAATAAAAATTGTATATTTTGATTAGTTTTAGTGAAAAAAAAATGTGTTAGTGATAAAATAGAATTTTTACTATCATTTTTTTTTTTAATTTTTCATAATATTTTCATTTAGTTATTTATTTCAATCTTAAAAAATTTATTTGTATTGAATTATTAATGAATTTTAACAAATATTTCTCCTCTTCTATTTCTTAAAAAAAAAAATTTGAATAAATTAAAATAATTAAAATTTATTATAAATCAATTGAGGTTTTTTTTTTGTAAATCAATTGACACCTACTAATCAAATCAAAATTATAGTAGTTTTGATATAACGCTTGCGATATGTCAGATAATATGTCAGCTAATTTGAAAGATAAATAATTATTTTCTTAAATAATTAAATACATATTTTAAAATCTGTTAAAATATTGAAAAATATTAATCAATAATTTGAAAAGAAAATTTTGTTTTTTGAATAACATAAAATATTTTTATAAAATAAGGGAGTCCATCTAAATGCAGATCTAATGTCAAATTGACTTATACAGTAATAAAAACAGTATTGGTGAATAAGTCAAATTGTCGTTAAATCTGATAGATTCTCTAATTTATAAACAATTTTCTTTACTTCATGATTTAAATAACTATTAAAAAATAATTTATTCCAAGTGTACAAAATTAGGGTACATTTTTTACAGTCATAATTCAAAATAATTGAATTTAATTCTGTATTTTTATTAAAATTTAAAATTATTTTTCTCATAAAATTATTTTTTTTTTTTTTTTGATTCTGAATTGAATAATATGCATTGTACATATATAATCTTTTATATACATACATATGATAAATATAAAATGTTCAATTAAAACTATAAGTATGTATGCAATATTGCGTTGTAAACGTTTATAAAAAGATTTGTGAAAAACATACAACATAAGTTATAAAATTAAAAAAAAAAAATAATTATTTATATGTCAGAATAATATTGAAAATTTTGACCTGAAATTACAGAAAACGAAAAAGACTCGTACACAGGTAAAATGATAGTTTATTAAAGATGAAAAAATTGCGATTTTATACGTGTTCTTATGAATTTTTAAAAAGAGAAACTTTTGTCGAAACATAGACGAAAATATAAATAAATAAATAAATGAAAATAAATGAAAATCAGCAAACTAAAGTATATTTGTGCAAACGTCAAGTTGAGTTGAATTAAAATGTCAAATTAATGAGAGTTTTAATATGTTTGAAGTTCTGTATTGCAATTTTAATTTCAAAATTGCAATAAAATTTGTTACACAATTTCACCAATAACAAGCTGAATTACAATTATCTCACAAGTCTTGACTCCCAAAATGCAGTAGTATAATATTAATACATAATTCAGGGTATAAGTTTGTATTTCTGAATTATGTATTAACACCATATTACTGCAGTTTGAAAGTCAAGAATCTTCCTTGAATTATTTTTTAAGTACTGTATTACTGCAATTTTGAAGACAGGGAATTGTAACATCTAGTTATATTTTTCGTCTTCTGTAACAAGGGCATTTATAAAAAGAAAAAAATATCAAAAATGTATAAAAAATAACATTTTTTTTGTTTTAAAGCAATTTAATTATATCAACATTAAATTTGATAATATTGGAAAACAATTTATAAAAATATGATATAAGAATATTTTTATTGATAAATTTGATAAAAATTTTTTTTTTTTTGTAAATAGCTTTGATGTTTCATAAATTCATTTTTTATTAATTAAAAATAAATTAATAATAATTCATTATTTATTCATACATACTTTGTTTTTCATTGCAATTTTTATTTTATTTTGAAATGAAATATTTAATTTTTATATAAGCACTTTTTAATAAATAAAAAACAATTAATTAATAAAAATATAATAAATATTTTTATTCTTTGTAAATAATAATATTACAAAAACAAAAAAAAAAAAATTTTATTATGTAAATTATTTTTAATTTTTTCTTTAACAAATTTAGGAAATATATTTAATTATAAAATTTATATATTTTGTGTTATTATCTTTAAAATTATCGTTAAAATTCTTTGAGTTCCAAAATGCAGTAATATTATAATTGAATGCAATTTAAAATTGTGTGATTAGAGTGAATTCATTGATTCATTTTTCATTTGAATTAAATTTAATTACAGTAGTATTTGCATTTTGAAATTTTACAAATACATTAATAAATTAAAAAAAGAAAAAAAAATGAAACTACATACATTTAATTAATATTAATAATATTAATATCAAAATTAAATATGTAATAATAAAAATAAATAATTATAGAGAATAGGTTAGAAAATTATAACATTAAAATAAACAAAAAAAAAAAAATGCAAGTTTTTCTATTTGTGTAAAACTTAAAAAGAAAATGAAATTCAATAAAAAATAAGGGACATACAAAAATTTAAAAAGGGCTGCATAAAATCAATGCAAAAAATTAAAAAAAAAAAACAAAAAAAAAAATTAAAAAAAAAAAGAACAAAAATAAAAATATCTTATGAAAAATCAAAAAATTTAATTTTAATTTATTGTTTTTACAATTATTTCGAATCAATTCATTAATCAAATTATTGGTAAATTGGTGCTGATTTTTTCAAACAGGTCTTTCAATCGGGAAATTCGATGTGGGAGTCGGTTTTTCTATATAAAAACAAATCTGATAAATTTGTTAATATTTTGGATAAATCGTGTAACAAACCAAAGAGTTTTATATTAACTCTTATTAAAAAAAAACAAGATAATTTAATTGTATTATAATTTTCCATTATAATATTCTTGATTTTCATATATAAAATGATTTTTATTTTCAATACCACAAATTCAATAGACAATCAAATTTATAAAATGTATATAATTAAAAATGAAATATTTGAAATAATAGTTAATTGAATTAAAAAAACTTATTGGAATTTTGAAAATTTACAAATCTAATTTTGCTGCTTTTAAATCATTTTTTTTCTTCTTTCTTTCCTCTTTTCTCTCCTCGGGAGTTTTCTTTAATGCTTTAACTTTACGTGTTTGTATTTTTTGTATTTTTTGTTTATCAATATGAACACGACCATGTGTTGTTCCCAAAGCATCTGTTGTAAGATTTTTCTTCTTTTTAACAGCCAAAACTTTTGGTTGTTTTCTAGATTGTTTATATAAATCATCTGATGCAATTTTTGTTCTTCTTATTGAAAAATCAACTGATGGTCCAATTTCAGTTAATTCAATTCTTGGAGTTTTTTGTCCAGATTTTTTTAATAGAATTTTATATGATCTTATACATACAGTCATATCATCAAGTAATGTAAATGATAATGCATGTTCGATACCTTGTAAACGAATTGCTTCAACTTTTTCACGATAAAATAAATCTATGAAGAGATTTTTTAAACGGCGTAATTCTTCTGTTTGCGCCCATTTTGGACCATTAAATATTAAACATGGTTTTACACATGTACCAATTTTTTCATTAGGGAAATCAGCTAATCCTTGATAATGTTTTATTCCTAGTTCCACCATATCTAAAAGTTCATTTTCAAATATTCTTCCTAATACTAAATTGTCTGGACGTTTTTTAGATGTTGAACCCATCATAAATATACCACATTCATTTTTCATTGTTAAACTAAAATTAATTTATAAAAAAATTTGCAAAGCTTTTAAATGTTTCCCACTGGATTATAATGGTAAAGCTATAATATACTTACAATTCTAATGATGAAGTATCTTCAAAAGGTGAAATATCATTATTTCTATTAAGCATTTTACATAATGGTTTCTTCAATTGATACATATCTTTTAATAAAGTTTTAATAGCACCTGAACATTTTCTGCCTTCTAAAAATAATACATTTTTTGCTGGTTCAAGTACTTGTGGCTCTCTGGATACCAATACTTTCTTTCCTTTTCGTGTTTTTGGTTTTCTAAAAATTTTCATTCAATAATCGATTTTTTCCGAATTATTTATTTATTTTAATTACCTTATCCTCAATAAAGACATGATTTTATATTAATTTTAGAAAAATTGCAATTGGTGTAAAATTTTCTCTATTTTATGTGAACTCTTTCTGTACAAAATTTTATTTACTACAGCTTTGGTTTTTATAATTGAAAACAAAATACACGTTGTTTTATGTCATAAATTTAAATACAAACATACATATAAATATTTATAATGACGTTTCATTATGACAGTGCTGCCATATCTATATTATATTACTTTAAAATATTTCCAAAAGATGTCAGGCATACTACAAATTACATGAGATGTTAAAATGTTATTAAAATTTTAAAATTTGAATTTTTAAAAAATTGTTAATTTCAAAAGTTTTCGAGTTAAATTAAAAAGTACAAAAAACATTTTTCATAATTGCAATCTTCTACCTATGACTGTAAGCAATTGATGTTCCAGAGAATTCGGGATCAAAATTTCATTCTTGGTTTGTTAAAAACTTAAAATGCATGGATAATCCGATGTATAATAATTTTATGCAGATTCAAATGCAAATATTTTAAATATCAAAATAATTTTTTCCTCTTTATTTCATTGCTATACTTGTAAAATTTGAAATACGAAAATCAAAAATCAAAAGAGTTTTCAATATATTTATGTATGCACATTGTTTGTGTGTTTGCGAATTTCTTATTCTCTTACTCCACAAATTGCTATCAATATTTTATTTAATTCCTTAAATTATTCTTAAAGTGTTAATAATGTTGGTGAAATTGAAAGACATCATGTCGTCGCATTCAGTTTTGATTGCAAATTTATTTTTTATCTATCAAAATTTTTATTTTGCAATAAAATCATTTTTGTTAAGCGCGTGAATTCATAAACATCTGCAACGCGATTTTTATGCTAGTATTCTCAATGAAGATATTTTTATACATTACATTTAAATTTATTCTTACTCCGTGCATAAAAATAAATATTTAAATTTTTTTGAGAAAATCACTTGCAATACTTTTAAAACGAAAAGAAGAATTATTACTATATTTCTTATATAATTTATTCAATTAATCTTTTGAGTTACTATAAAAAGACAATAGTGATTTTCTCATATTTTTTTTTTTTTCTTAAAAAATCAATTTTCCTTCAAAATTAGTTTGGAAAATTAAATAAAAAAAAATATATATATATGGCAATACTATAACTGAAAATTAAACTATATTTAATCGAATAAATCTTGGAAAAAATAAAATCAAATCTATACACAAATTTCAAAATTTACAGATTATACGTATATGAGAAGGGTAAATTTATATATTACTGTACCCGCAATTATAATCAAATAATGGAACAAATACATGAATGTAGATCTAATGTAAATTTGACATACTTTCATATTCAGTAATTAAACTGGTTGGGACTACGTAACGCGCGGCGACGAACCACACTTGATGGAGCCGAATTAAATGGAAAATTCTGGGCAGAAATAAAGTGCCTATTCCGAAACAGAATGCAATTCAGAGGGCATTGCTGAAGCCCTGTGTTCCCACCGAGAATGAAGAAGAAATGAAAATGAAAAAAAAATTAACAATTAAAATTCTGTCGAATTTTTAATTATGGGTTTAGTTTACATTTTCATGAAAAAATTTGTAAGTAAATAAAATTTTATACATAATAAAAATCAAAATAATAAACAAAATAATAACGTATAACAAATAAATTATTAATATCCAATATTATATTATTTTATTTAAACATAATTTAAATTTATTTATTTATTATTTTAAAAAGTCTACTTAAAATTTTAATTAAATAAATTTCTATTATCTTATAATAATACTTCAAGTTCAAATGATACTTAGCATAAAGCAACAATATTTAAAAATACATACATTTAAAAATAATACTTTTAAACAGTTATTGTTGAATGTGTATCTAGTATATATACTATATATGTATGTATAGGTTGTTGTCAAACTTAAGTGATTTTCATTTTTATAATATTTTAAATATAAAAATATCAATATTTTATTAATAATTAAAATAATAAAATAAAATAATAATGAGATTTTTACAAAATCTGTTATATAAGTTTATTTATATAATTAAAATAATTTATATATGTACAAAATATACTTGTGAATATTGTGTGTACTTAAATGTTTGTGTTCATATACGAGTAGTATGGCATACAGATGATAGCATTTTTATAATTAAAGGAAATTAAAATATACTGTGGTCATTTAGTAAAATTCAATAAGTTCCTAGAATTAATAATGAATATAGTTTACATATTTGATGTATATAGAACAATTAAAATTTACAATATTATGCTAGATTCGAGATACTTAATATTTATATGTCATTTTGTACTCTACAAAATAAATTATATGTATATTGTATGTAATTGAAATACTATTCATTTAATTGTAATTCATTTAATAATTTGTTTTCTTTTAAAGGAATGTAGAACTCAAAATTACTCTGGAACAATTGGATATATAATTTTTAATTGGAAAATGGATAATTAAAAATTATAGGATTATAAATTTAAATATTAAAGATTTATTTTTCATGCAAAAATTTTTTGGAGTCATCTACTGGAATAAATTTACGTACGTTACTACCTTTCTTTCAATATTATCACTGCTTTGAATAGAGTGGTGTAGTTTTGGAGTGTTATCTTGAAATTACAAAAATATCATTAAAAATAAAATAAATAATTATTAATATACCCTTAACACTATGTGAATATTAGATGAAAACATTATAATTATAAAAAAAAGCCTTAAAATATGCAATAATATGGTATTTAAAATTAACGTATATGCAATAATTATTGGCATCGAATTACATATAAGTACCTATAGCGTCTGAATCTATGGCCCTTTCTCAGTATGTCAAAGATTTGACGATCATGTCAATCACGTCAATCGCTTGATTTTGCAAATGACAATCACCTGTAATTTGAGCAATTTTCAAACAAATCACTTATGCATTAGCCTTTAAAAACATGCGAAAAAAAAACTAAAATGACAATCAATTGCGTTAGCAACATATGTTGGGATTTATGACGCTAGCGTCATGTTGCCTTGGGATTCATGACTAACGTCAGTTGCATGCATTTGACGATACTGGGAAAGGCCCTATATATGCATTAGAGTGCGTTCAGAAATTGGAATTGTTAACAGGAATGAGTTAAAAAAAAATCGAGCCTTGCTTTAAATTATTTATGCAACGGTACCACATTGCTTTTTTTTCGGAATAAAGCCACGTATTTATTTAAGCAATTTTTTTTTCTTCTTTATTATTTTTTAATAGAAATTAAAAACTTTTCCTTTATTTAAGGGTGGCCAGTATGAGAGAAAATTTCAATATACATAGCTACTTATGTATTTGTATATACACATATTACATATATTACAAGAATGTTATTTGCGTATTCCATAAATTTATATACAAACGAAAATCATGTATAAAAGAAAAACTTTCTTTTTGATGAAGAAAAAAAAAAAATTTCCTTGGTTAACTTTTAAATTTCATTTGGTTTCTTAAAGAATTTTATTTAGAAGAAAATAATAATAATTTTGTTCAATAGAAAATTTTTTTATTTTTTTTTTGCAATTTCCATTTCTTCCTTAAAAATTTCTATATGTATTCATTTTTTTACAGTAATGACCCTTCCTAACAAAAAAAAAACCGAAATCTTTCTCTTATATTTGAACTTAAAGAAAATTGGTTATGGTTTACGATAACGTCTTTTGAATTTATTTACGAGAACTTGAAGTAAAATAATAAAAAAAAAAAACAAAAAATTTAAATTTCTTGAGCAAAATTTTTTTTTTTTTTTGGGTAGTTGATCCTGCTTATGTTCTTACTCTAATTTATATATAGGCTAGTATATTTTCTATATCATCTGTGGGTCACCTAATTGCAGTTACTAGATGGCATTGAAAATACTTCATATGTATACGATTCTTTTCAATTCACGTATTGGGGTATTATGGCACAGGAATTAAATGAAATTTTTCATCACTTAATAATCGAGTAGACACAGTACAATATTGTCCCGGTTCAGTAATGTTAAACAATTATAATGAAAAGTTGTTGGGTTAAATTTCGTGTAGAAGAATTATGTTCAATTGAAGATTTGTGATTTAATACAATTTTCTGGCAATTGATTAATAAGTCACAAAGTGTTGGTATGTTTATTTAAGATTATTGGTGATATTCGAATTAAATGTATATTTTTCGCTTACTCTTATAATCTACATATTGTTCAATAATTTTCTTAGTGTATACATTCTGTATTATAAACGAATTATGAAATTCATTTCAATATTTTTAATGTATACAATATAGCATTTTTATAGCATCAACACTTTTCATATAATTCATACCCCAAAAACAATATTTTTCTTGCTAGTGTTCGTTTTTTCTGTGCATATACCAAAAAATGCATAAAAAATGCAGAGAAAAGTTTTTCTTTTATGGAAAATTGCATCCTTACAAAAAAAAAACAAAAATTTTAGAGTTTCTTAAAGTGATTTTTATGCATAGTTACAGAGTCATGTTGTAATTTATGACTATAAAAATGTTTTTTATATATGAAAACTTAAATTGTTTGTGTTCATTTTTTCGTGTTCTATAAGAAATAAAGCGTTTTGAAATAAAATCAAATGCGAAAATAATAATAGGGTTCGGTTTATTGTAGTATGTTTAAAAAAAATCAATTAATTCGATTAAATTTAGAGTGGACTGAGCAGATTGGAGAGAAAATGGTTAAATTTCAGTTGGACAAAACAAATTCATATTGGATTGAATGTAAATTTCACATACAAAAAATTGCATATATTTAGGCGCATAATATATGTAAATATTATTCTTAATAATAATTATGAGAGATTAGAGCTTATTCTGAATATCGAATCACAAGTGATTTTTATCGTAAAAAGTTTGATATTATTATTGTAAACACAAACCAATTTATACAAATGATTCGTGTCTATAATAAAATTTTTAAAATTTTTTATGATAAACTACATACATAT